CAGCTTGTTGTTTACCCCGGAAAATGAAAGGCCCCTTTATTCACAACCACCGTGTCAATTGGAAGAGGGATTGCTCCTACTTCCTTTCTGCTCCACTGCAAGCTGACGCAGTTTTATTTTTTATTTTTTTTTAGATCAGGTTTCTGTGGGAGTTTGCCTTAATTTGAACTTTGCAGAACACAGCACTTGCCAGCATGGGATATTTCTGCACCTGTAGACCTTAACCGAGGATGATGCCAGTGGGGAGGCAGAGGCATGAAGAAGTGAAGTACAAACAACCTTGCATGAGGTGGATTCTGACTTTAAGGGGAAGCGAGGTGGGGAGGTGTGTGCTCAGAGAGCCTCCTCTGAATATTTCCCCGGTGACGGAGAGCGGGCCAGAGGCAGTGAGGTCAGCAGATGGAGTCCAGAGCTCACTGACGGCAGCTGCTTTGACTGAGATGCACCATCGGTGTTCAGCACGCTGCTTTAGCATTTCTCCCTCCCTGCCTCATGCACTAACCCTCAAGCATGTTTGCTCAACCTGAGCGCGCACTAGCCTTCACATATAGCAGCTCCATGCAAACGCTGTCTCCTTGCAGCTGTTTAATGGCTGCGCGTCTGTTTTTGTTTGTTTCCTCGCCATAAGATTATTGCACCTTTATGGCTGGTCGGGGGGTTGGAATAATCCCTGGCATCTGTTCAGGCAGGGAGGGGCGAGCAAGGAGCCAGAGGTAGAGTTTCACTTTTTCTTCTTGCGGGGGAATTTTTCAATATACAAGACCGTGTGGCCCCCTTTTTCATCCCTGTCCACCGAGGGGGGAGGCGGTGGCTGGATTTTAGAGGTAGGAGTGATGGAGGGGATGTGTGCTGAGAGCCACAGAGGTCACTGAAGGAGCTTCCTGTTGCAGTTCTTCCAAAACGTGCGCAGTTTTCATGAATGTGTATAATTTAACTGCAAAAATGTTAGTTAAGCAGTTTCACCTTTTCACTGGCATATTGTGCACGGACAGCACTTCAAACACATTTTCTCTCATTTAACTAATTTAAGTTGTAATTACAATCTTTATTTTCAGTTTCCTTGTTTTTGTTTTTGTTACATAACAGAAGTTATGAAGCAGAGGAGCAGCTTCTCTTCAGCCTTCTCCTTTTCTTATCTTCTTTACTGAAGACTCTCTTCGCATGGCTCCTGTTGTTAAGCCGGGAGAACAGAACGTTATTCAACATGGATAAAGGTCCCAGCTTGCACCTGGAGGCACTCAGCACCACCCCTCTCCCATCCGGGAATCCTGCCAGCTTGGGAACCCCTCACACTAAAACGCCCTGCAGCGTCCCTGTGGGCTATCAGCAGTTAGCGGCGTCCGTGCCCGGTCACACTGTTGACTAAGCCGTGAGGAGCCAGTGGGGTTCCTGCTGCAGAGGTGTATTTTACACAGAAAAGAAAGATTCTCTAGCATGCCAAATATTTCCATTGTTGCTTTTCATAACCTGGGCTCATATGGGGGATCCACACCCGTGAATCGACTAGCTCTATTTTAGTGCATGTGACGACGCTCGCTGTGCCGACCGAACTGTTTGGCTACCCGCAACAGTGCCCTCTATTGGCTGGTAGATGTAAACATAAACCCAGCGTTGTGCCCGTCAAAATACATTTTTGATGATTTTTTAATTAAAGCATAGCTTTTGAAGGAAATCTTAGGTGTGTTCTTGCTGTGTCGTGGTTCTAATTCCATGCTTTCATTCTTTTTAAACACAGAAACAGTTTTGTTTACCTGTTTTGTAGCTACAGTTTCGCCGACGGCGAAACTGTAGCTACAAAACAGGTAAACAAAACTGTTTCTGTGTTTAAAAAGAACGAAAGCATGTAATTTTAAAGGAAATACCGCATCTTCTTCCTGCACACCTCTAAACACCTCGTTTATTTAGCTTTCTAATAAATACTTTCATATTCAACCTTTAAAATGTGTCTTTTTAAGTCCTAGTATATTAGGAGCGTGCAACGTTTCATGGTTTTTGACACATTTCCACAAAGCAATGGCAAAATAAAAATGTTAGGTCATTCAAATATTGACCAAGTTCCTTAAATTCTGCATGTAGACCATTTTATCTGAACTATTTCAGACTTTTTAGTAAAAGAAATAACTCACTATAAAAGGTTGAAATGAAAAGGAGGACATAGGACCAGGGGCGGATTTAGGACTGAAGAAGATCCGGGGCTTAACACACACACACACACACACACACACACACACGCATACGCACGCGCACACACGTGACACGCACTAGTCAACATCATATATGTCTTGTACCACATAAATTTTAATCTGAAGCTACATATGAAGCATATTCAGGGCAGAGTATTATTCCTGTTAGTGTTTAGTGTGAGATGATAGTAAATATTCCCTTTCTTTCTCCAACAACTTTACCTGATAGTAAGCTAACTTTAGGCAAACCAGCAGCACAACAAATATTTTCTAATAAGACTCACAAACCTGAGTCAACACCAGTCTCATCAAAGCTGGGGTTCTGTCGTTGTACTTTTGGTCTAAAAACGTCCTTATGTCCATCTTCACTCATGCGTTTCAGGCAGAGAGTGTAGAAGAAGCCGGCTGCTGAAGGGCTTCTTCTTCAGTGGCGGAGGCTCAGGCAGGCTGTATACAAACTACTGCCAGCTGCTCCCTCTCTGTTGGACTTTGGTACTGCATGTTACTTCCGTGATTTAGATCCGGGGCTTATCATAAAACATCCGGGGCTTCAGCCCAAGTAGCCGGGCCTAACACCGCCCCTGCATAGGACTTTCTTTTGTAAGTGAGTTCATATATGAACCTGAAATTCACACTACACTATTTAATGTAGAACTGAGTCTAAACCAGTTGTTTTCAGCTGTTCCATTGCATTTAAAATGAAATGCTTTAGTTGGTTAGTGGTTCTGTATAAACATGGACACAGTGTTTACTTAACTCACATCTGCGTTCTGCTGATTTGTTTCCATGATGACGAGCTAACATGCTAATGCTAGCTAACCTCCCCACAGTTTTGATCAGCCTTCTTTAATTTGTTGCATATTTCCTGTTGGTCTGGTCAATAATAACAAATGTCACTGAGTCATCGTACGAGTGCGTAGTTTACCTGCAGCACACCTCTCCACCTCAGCTCGCTGAAACATGTCCAGCTGTGTGATGCTGTCTGTGTTTTTTATTTTTATTTTTTGGATTACAGGAATCCTCGGTCCACTGGTCACATTAAGCCGGGCGTACGCTGTGCGACTTTTTCACTTTTTTGAGCCGATTTTCCAGTCGTGCGAGAATCCACGACATCGGGGCGAGTTTTGCGCTGAGCGGTCGTGTAGTGTACAGGAGGTTACGAGAGGCGATTAACACCACGTGACCAGCTGCCGATCAGCAGTCGTGAGGTCGCACAGACTTCTGGCGTGTTTAAAATTTCGCTCGTCCCTCGTGAGGGTATCGCACTGTTGAAGCGGCGCTGCGAGCAGCTGCGACCCAAAAAGTATCAGAACCGCTCACGGCGCATGCGCAATCCTGCATCAACGCCGCTCGCCCGCTATTTCCCTAATAACACACGTTGTTCGTTTTTGTTTCTACACGTTTTTTTTACTCACAAAGATTGTCAAGAAAGCGTGTTTGTCGTGTTCATGTCAAATTAAACTGATCACAATACACAGATTTACTTTCTTCATTTCGTTTTCCTCATCCAACCCCCATAAATCCCTGTGTGTCCTCCTGCAGCGCTCCCGAAGGACAACAGGCAAGACAAGACAAAAAAAAGTCTGACGTGTTGAGTAAAAACTGCTATTTTTAGTATATTTTTAGGGCCGACGTGTTGCTACCAGACGTACAGTGTGAGCACATGACTCGTGAGATCTGCTCTGCGAGGAAGTCGTACAGTTTGAGCTGAAGCTGAACGCTGCGAGTGAAAAAGTCGCACAGTGTACACCCGGCTTTAGCCTACTCCTCCTATAACAAATGTATAAAAGCTTAATTTGTTTCAAATACTATCTGTGAAGTTCCAACTTCACCAGGAGGTAAGTGTTTTTTTTTTAGAAACCAACCATCAAGGGGAAGGCACTTCCACATGCCTTTTGGGTTTTGTGGACGTTTGCCTCGTGTGGACAGGCGCATCAGCAAAGACAGACACCCCCAAGAAAATAGGAGAACAATGTTGTTGTGTAGGATGACATCAAGCCCGTTCCCGCATCCAGCTCTCTGTAAGAGTCTGACAAATGTTCTGGTGAAGAGTGAATTGGTGGCTGTCACTGGTAATCAATGGGTTGTCGGCCATTATCCAAAGTTCTTTTATTTCTGCCCATTAGTTTGTTGAGAAAATGGCCGGGTATGGTCTGGTGCGCTCCCCTTACGTTCAGACGGATGCAGCAGGCAGGGCGAGCTCGAGAAACATGAAAGTGCTTCAAGTATCTGTTTTTGTGCCAGTGGCGGTTAGGGCTTTTTCAGTATTTCAGCGTTTATAGCGTCTCTTTGTACACGTCGGACTCCAAAAGAGCTACAGCCTGTTTCTGAGGCAGCAGAACACATTCGTGTCAATATTGTGGGACTTGTGTGTAATTATTATTCAAAGGTTAAAGAGGGGATTGATCCGTAGAGGAGTGTCAAGGGCAGATCAAAGGGATTTGGGGGAGGATTGGACCTAAAATGTTAAAAGCTTCTCGCTCTTTAACACAGAGATGTCAATCTCTCTGAGAGCACCTTGATGTCCTCAGAGGAGAACTTGATCAAAGCCTCCATAACAAAGATGGTCTCAGAAGATGATCTGACCTCCGCTGGATCCCACTTCTGTCTTTCATTTTACTTCTACGAGGGTGCGTTTACCTGCTTGAACTCCCCGGCGCAGGTCCCGTTTCCATCTTTCTTCTGTTTGTTCTGCTGGTTAGACTGTCTGAATGTCAATGAAGCAGCCTCACAAATGTATTGCAAACACAGGAGAACGGTGATTAAAGATGACATATCTAAGCCTTGCTCCTTTCCTCTCCCTTCTCTCTTTCACAGGAGATTGCGGCTTACTTGATAACATTTGAAAAGCATGAAGAATGGCTAACGACATCCCCTAAAACAAGGTAAGACAAACCCACTCCCGCCTTCTTTAAAACATCCATTTTTTAAGATTCACCGCCTCAAGACCCTAATGTTCCAGGAGCTGGAATTACCGTGTTTCGTTTTTGCACATCTCTCCAAGACACTTTACTGACCTCTCTCAAGTTCAGGGTGGGATGTTTAATTTTACAGGCTGCTGATGGCTGTTCAGAAAAGTTCACAGTTTGCAGATACATCATAGAATATTAACAGCCTCTAATAAGCGCCTTTTACCGTACCAATTAACATAATAGACATTAGTGCAACATCTGCTTTGAATGTTATGTTAATGCGTTTGTATCTGTCTGCACATTCACCACTCAGCAGTGAGGTCAGAAGTTACACCCACATGTGGAACAAAATGCCAAGAGTAGCTATGATATTTGGAAGAGAGCAGGGGGTGTTCTGGTAATGTATGCATATGAAGGTGAAAAAAGTCCTTCTTGGCTTTTTCAGCTCATTTTAACACATAAAACTTAATGTCAGCCTGCATGTTTGTGGCAGCAGTGGGTGTGATGTAATTATGTCGCATATCTAAGCTGATAATTAATAATGCACGCGGTTTTGGCATTAGACGGTGTTAGACTGCTCTCTGTTTGAGTTTATTTGGCTAATCTCTTAATCTCTCTGTTAGACTGCAGCGGGGGTCCGTTTCTCGGCCTGTCTTAGAATATTACCACTACATCACGCGGTCGGAGCAGCCAGTTAATGAAAACGTTCACACGAGTCTCTTGTTTTATTTAAAATAAGCCTTGACTTGATTTTTCCTGCTAACTGGACTCACCTAGTTGACGTTTTGTAAAACCCTCATCCACGTGTTGAGAGACTAAACAGACCTCCCGCAACTGGTGTGTTTCTTTTTTCTCTCCGGTTTTGCAAAATCTGATTATTGATTATTTGTGTTTATTGGTAAATGGTATTGATAACAATAATATCTCTAACCCCCCTTGTGTGTTTTGGACTTTCTTTGAGGTACACCTGGACTTAATAAATAAAAATACCTAACACCTTAAAGTTAAAAGTTAAAGTTAAAGTCCCATTAGTCGTCACACACACAGGTGTGTGTGCGAAATTTGTTCTCCGCATTTGACCCATCCCCTGGGGGAGCGGTGAGCTGCAGACACAGCCGCGCTCGGGAACCATTTGGTGGTTTAACCCCCCAATCCAACCCCTTAATGCTGAGTGTCAAGCAGGGAGGCATTGGGTCCCATTTTTTCAAAGTCTTTGGTATGACCCGACCAGGAATCGAACCCTGATCTCCCAGTCTCAGGGCGAACACTCTACCACTAGGCCACTGAGCTGCTCAGGTGCTGCTCAGCCCCACCCCCTCTGTTTTTCCACGCCAGATTGATAATAGTTCTGCATAAGGACACTGCCAATTAGAATAGGTTCTCATGTGTAATTACCAGCTGAAAGAGCCCTATGCTCCACGGCTTTTTCCTGGTTTGTTTTGTTTCTTGTTATTTAATCAATAGAAAGTGTCTTCTCTCCAGATCAACCCCTTTGAATTTAGTTTTTACCACACATCCTCTTTCCCCATCAGAATACATGTCATCGTCTTCTTGCCTTAAAGTAAATGACCTTGGGGAAAGGATTCAAAACGGTAGCGAGGAACGTCATGTCTGTGTGCTAGGTGCTGGGACATCAACAATGTCACAAACGCTGGCGCTGAGTAGCACAAGACAAGACATTCAGAAAACGGGTGAGACATGGAGATTTTTGATCCAGTGTCTCTTTAAACAAATGTTTCTCAGGATGCTCCTGGCTACAGTCTGTCACCTCCAAGGGTCCTGCTGGTCAAATCCCAGTAGGCTCATGCTGGTTGTGTCGTAGAGCAGGCGTTGATGTCTCAGACGTGTCACCAGGGAGCATCTCCACGATCGCAGCCACAGCCATGACAAAACACCTGACAACATCCCAATTTTCATTGCAGGACAGGAGCTCAGTAAATAAACTGTATGAATGTGTTGTTGTGGGGGTTTTTTTGTCAGGGAGACAGGGTTTGAGGTGTTTTGTCAGTGAAAGGGTAGGGTGGAGTGACGGATGACGTTGGGGGGGGGGGGGGGGGGGGTGAATGTATGTATGTGATTGATGGCCATCCTCTCTATAGAAAGCTTTCCTGTCAAGGTTGCGTGTGAGAGGTCACGCCCGGGACACCTGTGGTTGAACGCCGCCTCATCATTTGTCACGACGTATCTGGTTATGCGTCCGATTGTGACTGAGCTGTCCGTTTGTGGGTTGACCCCTGTGGGGAACAGGCTAAGAAGGCTAATTCTTCCTCAGCGAGCACCTCCACACTGGGTCAGCGGGGTACGATGGAAGGTAGAGATTAGCAGCGGGGTCACACACGGAGAGGCGCAGTGCTGCACGGCTGCTCAGCACGCGTGTAACAACTCTGACACATGCGGGTCGTAAACAGAGGAGCGGGCCTCCGCCAGAACGCAAGGAGCTGACGCCAGCTGTTTGACCAAGGTGACACGCCAGGCAGGACATGCTCTGAATAGAGATGGCATGCTGTCAACATGCAGAGGGTAAAACGAATCGGACGGAACGCACGCGTGCACAGATGTTATTTATGAGGCGCGTGGAGCTGATGCATATGAGCGAAGGCGGCGCTGTAACAGAGTAGCCAGCACTGTCTGTTGTTTTGGTCGGTTTTTGTTTGTTTATCATTTGAAAATCCGAAGCATGCCAGGGGGAGAGCGGTGCAATGCTGAGTGATTGATGTGCTTAGCTCAAGTAATACACGTTCCCTTTTAGATAGGAAGTGCAACAGTGCTTAAAATCAATACCAGCGTTCTCCCACTGACTGCTCGAACAGCACTACAGCTAATTCAGGCCGCACCTGTCAGAGCCGGGGAAATCTTTCCCTACTCGGGCCTTACACTTTAATTTACACCAACAGCCTCTCTGCCTTCCATTTCCATTAAAGGGAGAGCCTGGCATTATGGCTTTAATGAAGGCCGCAGCCAGGCTGTGATTTAGGACGGCCGTTACCTTGCACCTTCACTCCACAGGAGGGAACACACTTATAGGCACAATTAGGATTTTCCTCCACTGCTGCTTTGTGGCTGGCCGTCCCCTCTCTTTCCCTTTGCCTTTTTAAAAGATGCTGCCGCTGCTGATGGGATCTGGAGGCGCCTGTGGGAGAAAGACGGAAAACAGAAGGAAGGCAAAGAATTGTGCTTCCAAATCTAGACATTAACATTTGATTTGACCTCATCATGGGCGAAGCATTGTTCTCCTGTTGAGAACAGGCGCTTATTGTCCATCATAAATGACACAAATGTCCCTTTGAGGGGCTCTTTTCAGGCTGTTTGAATGCTGACAGATGGAGGCACTGCTGACTCGATGGTGTCACAGACTGGTCAGCCCGAAGACCTAATGGACACCTGTGTGCCATTGTGAGATCACTCATTATACTGAGCATCCTGTAAGCATCGTGTGATTGGATGGTGGCGATGTGGGGCATTAGGATTTCTAGGCTGCACTCTTTTTTTATTGGACCAGTTAAATGCAAGTGAACTAGAGCTAAAACTGCAAAAGCGGTTCCACTTTTCAACCAATGTCTCGTGTGTGTTATATTCTCTGGCCGTGCTACTGGGTACCCCTAGGAGACATGTTAACACAAATAACAGATTACGTCTTTATTATCAGGCTGTATCACTGCTTTCAACATAGAACAGGAACCCAAGGCTACAATCCCCACAGGCTCACCAGAGCTGGACCAGAAGAGACCGGAAAACATTTCCTGGTCTGATGAGTCTGGTTTTAGCATTCCGGTCTGAATTTGGTGTCACAAACATAAAAGCATGGATCAGTCCTGCTTTACATCAATGCTTCAGCCTACTGCTGGAGTAAAGTGTGTGTGGGAGGTCTTCTTGTCCCACTTTGGACATCTAATGGTGGTTTTTCAGGAACACATCTCAGAGTAACTCGGACCGATGCAGCTCGACCCGACCACTGTTCCCAAGGGTACGCTTTGGTATTTTCCCTCTAAACTTTCTCCCCTGTTTTTAGTCCCTGCTCCATTGAGGTACCTGGCAAGGCTGAGTCGGGCCGGCATCGTGATTCTGGCTGCTGATTGGCTAGGGGGTGGAGTCACTGGTTGCTCCAGAGTTTTTTACCTTCTGTTTCACTGCCTGCAGCCATTTCCTAGTTCAGTGTCTGACAAAACGCCGTACAACTGAGCAGAATGCCCAGCAACACCTCCATTTCTCAGGTGAGTTGTTTCTGTGGAGCGTACAAGTTACCCTACACTGTTTATCCTCATGCTATTTTGTCATAAGTAAAAATTGCAACCCTCCCGTGACTGCCGCTGGTCCCCGCCTCCCTTCCCTCGCACCCACTTGGAGCTGGCATGGGAACAAAACTACACTCAGATGGGCTGACTCAAACCAAACTGTACCGAGCTGTTTTAGGCTGAGTGGTGCTCCTGGAAAACTAGCTTTCGTGCTGGTACAACTCTGCCTACCTGAGTATTGTTGCTGACCCTGTCCAACCCTTTACCACCACAGTGGACCCATCTTCTTAGGGCTACAGTTAGGCCCGGGACGATAACAACTTTTGCTGGATGATATATTGCCCATCAAATTACTGACAATAAACAATATTATCATCACCATAATCAAGACTCATCGTCATCGTCGTCGTCTTCCTCCGCTTAACTGGGTCTGGGTCGCGGGGGCAGCATCCCAACTAGGGAGCTCCAGACCGTCCTCTCCCCGGTCACCTCCACCAGCTCCTCCGGCAGGACCCCAAGGCGTACCCGGACCAGATTGGAGATGTAACCTTTCCAACGTGTCCTGGGTCGACCCGGGGGCCTCCTGCCGGCAGGACATGCCCGAAACACCTCCCCAGGGAGGTGTCCAGGAGGCATCCTGACCAGATGCCCAAACCACCTCAACTGACTCCTTTCCATCTGGAGGAGCAGTGGTTCTACTCCGAGTCCCTCCCGAATGTCCGAGCTCCTCACCCTATCTCT